TATAAATGAAATGATGCCATAATCAATTAATAAAATTTTTAATAATAGAAAATACAAAGAATCACAAAAATATTAAAAAAAGATAAAGAAAATTTTGGGCACATATCTAATGTTATATATTTATAAAAAATAAAATGTTGTGTACATCTCTAATATCATGCATTCATTATATTGAACAAAAATAAGTTTTACACATACGAAAAAATTTTATCAATGACGGAAATGTAATACAAAATTTTAATAACTTAGAAATCAAAATATTTTTCTTTTTTAATGGTGGGTTAGTGTATTGAGTCAAATGATTCCAAAGACAAACAAAAATTAAGTGCAATAAGTAAAAAATATTTTATATAATATAAATGAAATATATAATYTAAAGAGAAAATTATAGTCARAGTCAGTTGTACATTTAAAATTAGGTTGCAGGTTGGTCCAGAAACCAACAAAACTCTAACAACCAGCAAAAAACCAATACCAAATATAGGTTTTCAGTTTCTCTCCCACTCCCTCTGTCTCTTGATCTCCCTCCCTTCTCTCTCTCTTACAGTCATATCTCGATCTCCCGCTCCCTCTATCTCTCCCACTCTTCTAGATTTGGTCTGTAGCCAAATCAAAACCTATCTCTCTTCTTCCCTCTTTCTTCTCCTTCTCGATCAATATCTCCTTATCTCTCCCTCAATCTCTATCATTCTCCAATTTGTGTAAATTACATAGCCAAGAGTTTCTTGTGAATTTTTATCAAATAGGTGTAACGATTTTTGAACCATACCAAGTTGGTCTCATGTTCTTTTATGCAATCTAATTAATACCACATAAGTGTGTAAGAAAAAAAAAAGAACGAAAGAGGGAGTGGGAGAGAAACTAAAGGAGAACGATAGAAATTAAGGGAGAATGAGAGATTGACTGAGAAAGAGAATGAGAGAGATTGAGGGAGAACGATAGGTAGAGAGAGAATGAGGGAAATTGATATAGAGAACGTAAATATAGAAACCAAAAACCATTTTTATTTATTTTCAAATCACACAGTTGTTAAACAAATAAAGATGACTGTGAGAGTGAGAGATCGTGAGATAGTGAGTGAGTGAGTGAGAGAGAGAAACTAAAAACCCTTTTTTTTTTTTATTTTCCAATCACCCAACATTAAAGGACAATTTTGGTATAAGCTTTTTGTTGTGTTCAATATGGATTAAGAGTCCCATGTTGGCAACAACCACATAAGCCTCTGATGACATGGCGAG